TGCGGGAATACACGAAAGAGATACATTGTTTTAACATGTTCGCTACTCTTTTAAAATGAATCAGTTAAAAATGTTTCTGTGCTTGCATCAATGAAAACGGTGTTTCCGCGGTAATTGGTGATTTTCAATGAAGAAATCTTCGCTTTACCTTTTTGTTTTATACGTCTTTTATACGTTAATTTCGATCAGTGAAAGCAAGACTTCACTGCAACATCTGTAGCACACAAATTCTCCCCACGCTGTACCGAATGTAACATTCTGCGTCTACGACGGTGGAATTAACGAATTTTATGCGTCTCGCGTGCGATCACGCTGTATTTGCAAACCGCATTAATAATGAGAACAGTCGCTACTATTAACTAACCCTTTCTCAGCAAAATTTTATTCATTGGCTATATTTGCAACCGAACCATCAGTTTTAAGTAAAGCAATTTGAAACAAACGAAGTAAAAGAAGATTACAGTAGAGATGTGCGAATCAAGGATTTTTATGTCGAATCGAATCTCATTTTTTAAATTCGAATTCGAATCGAATCGAATGAAATCGAATGGAATCATTAAAACACTTAACATGACTATTAAACACGCAAATAATGATGGAAGATTTTAATATAAAAGGGAATATTGATAATGTAATATCATCTTAAAGTAAAATATATATTTAAATAATTAAAGTAATTTATAATTAAGTTATTAGTTATAAGTTAAGTTAATTACAAGTTAAAGGTTCAAACATACAGGCCCAGATGGCCCGTTTTATAGCTGACAAACACAAACGACAATGTATTTGATTTCTATTCGAATTATTCAGATTCGAATCATAGAGATTCGGATTCGAATTCGAATAGTTCGCACATCTCTACAAATCAGTGAATACACTGATTGTACTTAAGAGAGCACCAAAACGTTACGCACCGATCTCGCACGAGAGACCAACGTCACGTATATTTGACAGTAACAACTTTCCATTCCATATTCATACAAACAATATTAAGTCAGTTTTACATTGTTACATAAAAAGATGCAGAGTCTATGGAGACGGCTTGCGCAATGAAATAGCGAAATTATTAATATCATACGGTTCTCTTCGAACTCGCAATTTTGACATTCCGTGAGCACTGTACGCGATTATGATTTAAATTTTCATGGATTGCTTCAAAAGATCTTGACAACTCATCTAAAACTTTTTGAAGCATCTCCTGCCAGCTCACTATATTCGTGGATATTTCAATCCCGAATTTATTTGAATATTCCTAGAAATATATTTCAATTATTATTATTATCCTAATTATTATTACAGCGATATAGATCTTCGTGATACTTCATTATTTCCCTAAATATCTCTCTGTTGTTTTCCCATTACTATCCGTGCATCATCACTAATTGTACTACTCGTACTTGCGGTAGACGCGATTAAACGGAGTCATGTGCCTGATCGTTCTTTAATTATACGTTGCTTAGATTACGCCGGGCGGGAAACAACACGAGCGAATTAACATTAACGAATACGAACTAATGTTAATTCTTTCGCAGCCACGAACTCGCCTCGAGTCCCGTTCAACCCGAATCTGTTCGCGCTACGCGTCACGTTCTCGCGCGTCGCAAGCAAAACTTTAACGGGCCAATTAACGCGTCCGGAATCAACGGCGGTAACGTTTGCAAGAAACGACCGTGTTTTCCCGAACCCCGCAAACTTGCCGCGCACGGTTTAATCAGCACGCGCTAGCCGTATAATTGCGCGAATTACGCAACCCTCGGACAGACAAGAGAACGTTGCGCGATCCGACGCGCTTAACTCCTTCCTGCTCATTATGAAATATAACGCATTACATTGCGTTAATTCTTGAGGGAGTGGTGCTTTCGCAATCTCGGCTCGTTAGCGCCGTCAAATGACGGAACCATCGTTCAAAGTCTACGGCCGAATCGTAAGGGATGTTCCATTTTCTAAAAATATATCAACACGTGAACTGCCATGTCAGTCGTATCTGGTTGATCAACAAATGTCCGCGGAAATCTTGTTACTCGTTTGTAGTCTTATCTATCATATTAAAAATAATTTTACTAAATACTTATAAAAATAACAAATAGAAAAACTAAAATATCGGTAATTATGTAAAAAACAAGTCGCACATATCTGAGATTTCTTTACTGTTAATATACGTTCTGATATTTTAAACTGCCGCGGTGTAGAGAAATATTGAATTTGGTACCTAAAAATATTCAAGTTGTTGCTCTCTCTGAAAGAGCATATTAGATTGTTCCCGAAATATCAGATTCATGGTGGACGTGGTACCAACTTGGAAACTACTTAAATCAAACTGCTATACGAGTTATGTTATAAAGAATGAAATTCATTTGTATATTTTAAACCATGTCGGGGTTGCATACAGTTTACAAGCTGTGTCACTTTAAAGTATTATACTTTTCTCCTTTATTATACTGAGTTGTTATCATTCCAAACATATCAGTCATGTTGTCGTTCTTCGTTTGCGTTTCTTATGTTTACACGAGCTACTTCCCGTGAAAATATCCTTCGAATCTTTCGCCTTATCCAACTTGATGAGTCTGACGTATACTAAAATAACAGATCCTAAAAAACCAGTGCGAAAGTTTGAGTTTAGAAGTGTAGCAGCATTTTTATAAAGAAATATTTTTATGTTTAAGTCACTTAAGCTCAAGCCTTGCGAAGGGTTATTTGCTCTTTTTTTAGGATCTGTCATTTTAGTACACCACATGATAGACTTATCGATTCAAAAAAGCGAAAGATTCGAATATATGCGACAAGCTGTTTGTGGACTAAAATGTACTTAGGGAGATTGATATACGTAAATAAAAAATGTAAAGAAAGAAGAACAGCAATATGATTGGAGTAAAAAAATAAATCATTTTCGACATAATAAAAACTTGAAAAACTTTAATGTGATCGCGGAAACTGTATATGACTCAAATAATTTTACAATAAATTTTATTCAGATCCCTATCGTTTACAACATATATTAAAATCATAGAGATCCCACCTTCTCTGGACGTGTAATTTTTTTCTATACAATTACCAAAGTATCACTAAAATAACGTAACAATAAAATAACGTAACAAGCCTGGTGAAACTCAGGCGTAAATTTAGCGTAACAATCACTGAATGCATCGTTGAATTGCGGTAATTAGAAAAATATTAAAAAAACAAATGTCTTCTTCTTGTTTTACGTCGTATTGGAATTTATATTAGGTTTTGGGCTAACAAGCGATTGAAACCCGATCGCGACGACCGGGAAATTTGCGTAATTTTGGCCGTGCACGATCGCAAAAATGACACTGACGCTTTTCGATTCGATCCCGTCGATTGCTACGCGACAGTAACGACGCGACATCAAATCGAAGCGCCAGCGACGCGTACACTTCGTTGCTACGATCCGCGAAATTAGCAGCGATGCACCAGCGATTTTCCATCCCGTACTTTTCTAAAGGTACGTACCCCTTATTTTCGCGGCGCGCGAATACACACGATAGCGTTCACTTCCCGCTGGTGGTGCTCTGTGTCGCTCCGAAATTGTTTTGCGCTTCGAAAAACGTGCGGTATCGCGTTCATCCGGAGATCTGATGCATCGCGTTGCGGCATTGCTGCACGTGCTGGAATAAACATCATATGACGTGTGCGTTTCGTGCAATGCAGGGTGCCCCCGCTTTCAACGAGTTGGACACGAGTACACGATTTTTTGTGTGTCCCCGCGTGCGCGCGTGCACACACACACATACACACACACACACACACACACACACACACTCATGTTGGTTAAATTCGTCCGTGTATGTTTCAAGCTATCGGTAACTTTAATTTAGCCTTCCATTCGCGTTTAGCTTTAATTTAGCTTTTCATCCGCGTCCGTCTCTTCAATTACAGACTGAATTGCATTCTTTATCATGTGTCCCGACGTATACATACCGCTCAACGTCCGCAACATTGTTCCCGTAACTGCCAAATTTTATTTTCTTCTTTCCTCGTTTTAGGACGTTGAGCGTAGCTGACTGATACTTTTATCATTCAGGTCGTTTGTGCTGAAATAAATTCGACAGCAGAGCGGATAAGTGGAAGTCAGTGCTCTCTCCTCGGAATACTTGACTAGAAGCAAAACTCTTTTTTTATCATAAGATAAATATATACCCCAATTAGCGGTCAAGTAATTTCATCGTGAAAATAAATTAATACATTAGTAACGTATATGTATATTCAGTTATGTATAAAGAATTGATTTCGTTGGAGAGCTTTTGAACATTTAGGATTTTAATCCTGTTATATTCTTTTAACTTAAGGAAATATTTTAATTTATTTATAAAATTTTCTCAGAAATAACTGGAGTATCATTTAGTAGCACGAAGTTGAAGAATATCTGCATCGCTATACGTAGACTCGTGATTTATTGAGGAGAACATGTACACAATTATCAGGAATTAGAATTACTGTCACTAATTGGGACACATTTATCTTATTATTCTGTTCAACAATGATACATTCAAGATCCAACCGTCCCGCAACGTCAAACATGACGAAAAAAATGAAAACGGAATCGAAAAGAGCTTAATACCGAACCATATCTTACGAATTGTGTTACATTATCGTTGAAATCGGCTAAACGAATATTACCGTAGAAGAGGTTTTTGCTGTAAAACATGAAAATCTGATAAATTCGGCACTGAGTGCGCTGATATTTCGCTGAGTGTAGCGACTCATGAACGATATTCAGACGAGAATTACGTCCTTAACGTTTTTGCAGATGCACGTCCATGTACAAGAGTAAGAATCACATTTTTCTATCGTATCACGACGTGTTCTACGCCCGTCGCCGGAGAAGATTTTTCGGTGCGTGATAAACCGAGTTCTCTCCGTGCGCCGCATGAAATTCCATTCTGAGCGTACCGTGAATATACGCTGGTGTGGCAAAAGTGAGCGCGCGCAGCATGTCGTAAGTCGAAAACTGTGACGCGACTGGATATTCCTTTTTCTAGGAGGACTTGGAACCTTGCGAGGATGCGGGACCGGCTCTCGTGGTACATGGTCTTCCTGATCCTGCCGACGATCCTACTAGCCAGGTCGCTCGATAAAGGTGAGCAGCGAAGAGCGAAGGCTTCTTTCGTTAGAGAGAAAAACTCAATAAGCAAGAAATTTTAGACCGACAGCTTGGAATATTGATTTCACATTTAAGTGATGTATTTCTTTTTCTCACTTAAGGAAATGTCAAATTTGACATACTCCAGAAGTGTCGATAATATATTCAGCATATACGAACTTAAATAAAATTCTTATTGAATATATTTTAAGTACATATAAGCTTATATAAAACTTTTCTATAAGGCACATATTTATGCAAGTTGATAGCTTGAGATGACAGTTTTGAAATTTTTTATCATTTTCGTCACACATTGAGCAATGCTCTAATTTCTTTTTCTCTTCCATCTTTATCGTGTAAAAATATTTGTAATTTTGTGCAATTAATATGATTATATTAATAATATCTAAATATTGTAGCAAGAAAATATTTTTTCGCCGTTAAAGTTTCTAGATAAGGCACTCCTTTAATATTTTCTAAGCATCTCTAAAATACTGTCATGCATATCACGGATGTCTTTCCAAACGTTGCAAAACTGCTTTAAAAACATTGAAGTATTAAAGTTGCTCGTAATATTGTTGAAATAACATCAACAATTACATTTCAGAAAACGTTACTCGCTCCATCAAATTTCACTCCAATAACATTCTGTCAATGTTGATTGTTTACTCATTGAAAATATATTTGTAATTTTGTAACACATTTTTCATACTTATACAATACTTTCTGCTGTTAAACGTATATGAAGAATAATTTTGTGCATTTATTAACAAATTGGATGCCGCGATTCATCGGTGACCGTGATACTACCGTGTCTCATTATACAAGGTGTTCAAAAAGTTCCGGTACGGCCGGGTAACTCTTGAAACATTGGTTACTTACGGAACTCACGTTATTACGTAACTTACGGAAGTGTAAGGTTCAATGATCTTGAAAATGACCTCTAGAGGTCAAAGGTCAACATGACTAAGGATATATTTGGACGTAATTTTTTACGCTCTTTCGATTTCCGCTATCAAAAACACATGCTTCTATTTGAAAAAACGGGGTTGACCTTCATTTGACCCAGAAGGTTACCTCAAGAGTTACCCGGCCGTACCGGAACTTTTTGAACACCCTGCATTATGGATAATTGTATTTGAAAAATCGGTTATGCACCCAATAGAGAGCCAATGAAACGAAGTGAACGATGTATGTGTCTCGAGTTACATTTATTTACCGTATCTTTGGTAACTCAAAAACGATTCAATCGTCGGATAAAGTTTTGCATAATCAACGAAAATCAATCGATCGATGTGTTAACATATTTTATGCAAGAATGCGCGGTTATACATTTCTTCATCTGTCCGTTTTCTCTTCAATTTCTCTTCAATTTTAACCAATAATAGCAACATAAAACATTTTAGTTCCTTTTTCCTGTCTATCTAATTTTCGCGTTTTCTTTTCCCTGTCACGTTTTAAATGTAAATCCTAATTAAAGTTATGATAAAAAAACGGAAACATCTGAACACTGAATTGTTTATATAATATATTTAAAAAATATTATCTTTTCTTACGTATTTGGAAAGAACAAATGATATCTTCACAATATCATTAAAAAGTATATTATTATACGTAAATACATAAAAGGAAAGAAATAAATACGTTAAGGAGAAAAATTAGGCACTATCAGCGTCGCTAATTTCCTCGTCGCGCAAGGAGGAAAAACAACAAATTCTTGATAATAATAAATATATATAATAAGTTAGATAAGACGGCAGATATATATTCTGATGTATATTCCGTCACGTGAGCGGCATAATAGTGCGAGGAGACAAGGAGCTTGATAAATGCCTAGAGGCACGTTCCCGACGTTAAAAAGTGCTGTGAGACGCCTCTCTCTCTCTCTTCCTCTCTCCCTTTCCCTCTCTCTCTCTCTCTCTCTCTCTCTCTCTCTCTCTCTCTCTCTCTCTCTCTCTCTCTCTCTCTCCCTCTCTCTCTCTTTGTGTATTGAACGATGAGGCATTATAATGCCTCCATTGCAGCTCACAAAGGGAGCTTTCAAATTTCGTAGAATTATGAGGTGCCGCTTACACCGGATGAATAAAGCTTCAACGACACGCGCGTTGTGCCCGAGAGATGTGCATCGACGAAGTTCGCGAATACCTTTTCAATGCGCCCTTGCGACAGAGACATCGATAATGCCACCCCGATCGTGACGTATAATTGCAGTAGCCCGTGACGAACGTTCGACATTCCTGCAAATATTTTCGTGCATTTCGTGTTGACTTGAAATTTATATATGTAGCTATAAAAAGGCAAAACTGCTTGATACGTAACATAAATTATGTAGAAATAATGGATTTCATGTAAATATCTATTTGAAACTTTAAAGTTACCCCTTCAGACGGGACAAAGTTCTATCTTAGCATAGATTAAATAACGACTCCTAGAATCTATGAAATAAAAAATTAAAACAACTAAAATTGAATAAAACTATTAATTTAAATATTAGTGTGTATAAACGAATATTAGTTTGTAAAGACTTGATCATTCTGTATATATAATTAATATTTAATATCCTGAGAACTACGTAATCAGTTTTAAAATAAAGCAGAGAGTAACTTCAAAGTTTAAAAAAAATATACATATGTAGAAAAGAGAAAAGAGAGGAGGAGGAGGAGGAGGAGGAGAGAGAAAATTGTGTGGAAAGGAATGTCACAGCAAGAAGAAAATAATTTCCCGCATATATAGCGACGCTGTTAACGGTAAAAGCTCGCGGGGTTAATCGCGGATGAAACTTGAATGAGGCGCTCGAAAAGTTAACGCTTGAATTTACATTTCGTAGTAGAGGTTGCATTAGAGCACATTATGTTCATAAAGTATTAATCCCATCTAGAGGAAGCGATATCGAGCGTTTCTCTGATAATTACTTCCTCGGCAATTACTGCGGTGGGGTGCAAATTATGTGCATTACTTTATACGAGCGACTGCGCGCCGCGATACATTATCGACCTAAGATTGGGGTAACTGTATCTTTGTCTCCAGTTTCACGATATCGATCTGTTAGCTTACGAATAATTATTCCAATCGAATGTACTCGACGCTAGTGTTAAACTCGGCAAATGCACACTCGTGCAAAATACAGTTAAACACGCTATGAACATCGTCAAAGAAGGGAAAAAGACAATTACTGTAGCTAGTAGGAAACATATAACTGAATGGAAAATGTTGTTACGAAAGAGCACCGTCAAAGAAAAGAAAGAAGACAATGTAGCTGACTCAACGGAACGTGTTGTTAAAAAAGAACACTAAAGGAGAGAAAGAAGATAATACGTCTACAACTGTGGGCTTAATTTCGTTGAACAGTGAAACCAATTAACTTCCGCAAATTGAAAAGCAGAAGAAATTTTGCCACTAATAATAATTCAATATGAAAATTCATTATGTACTTTGCTGCGCGAATTATTATCTTTAATATATGTAAGTGTCCGCTAATTCCATTTGTACGTACCAAATAGTGATTAAATATTCTCCGCGTAAGCGCGCAATTTTTGCAAAATGTTGATGAGAAAAAATGAGATGGAGAGGTAGATGGGGGAAGAGGAGGTGGAGAGGAGGGGAGCGGAGACAAAAACATGTTTCCAAAAAATATTACGTAAAACAATCATACTGACTCGAACGGGTGAGACGGCATTAAGTGGGTAATTTTTTACGCGCGGTGACACACGAGGGGAAGAGTCGGTGGAAAATAAAAATACGTTCTATAATACCCGAAGAACAGCGGCAGACGGAGGACAGGATAAGGAACTCGCGGTTAGAAATTTTATTCCTTTCGTTTGCTTCTCTCTTCCTCTTTCTCTCCCCGCACGCAGAGAAATAGCTCGCCGCCATGCAGTGGTGGGCAGCAAGTGGGAGAGCGCGCGCGCTCAACATCTATCATAAGAGAAATCGTTTTTCTCCTCTTTTCTCTTTTTTTGGACATACACAGAATCCTGTTTTGCCGCTTCGGTAGTTTGCGCATATGCGCATCAAACATCAAGTTTCCGCGCCGTGAAAAAACAAAAATACGCGGGAAAGATTCAAGAGGAAACGTCGAACAGAAAAAATTTAAACGAAAATAGATTACAATCAGAGATGAAAATCAAAGTCAGCAAGAGTCAGTAAAGGTTAAAAAAATATAGATTACATACGTTAGCGTTCGACATCCTGAGCGCTCGGTAATATTTGCAGAACGGAAGAGAACGAGCAAGCAAATATATCGATAAATTTCTTACACACAATTCGGTTTATACATATATGTATGTATAATTTCGGTCGCTCAATAATATTATATTTATGTTTCTCCAATATTATTCAGTTCCTGCTTTAATTCATCACAACGTTTGCCCTTTCAGATTAATCGCAGATACCGCGTCGGCGATACCTCGTTACGTCATATTCGACTTTTTTGCTCGCGCCACGTTGTCGATATTTTCAAACGGAGCTATAATACCAGACATTTAATGAATCAATGAGTACTGCGGAAAAAAAGAAACGCGGAACAGACGGGATGTACACGGATGTGCGCGCTCTCTACGTCAAAAGCTTTCAGCAAGTACCTGGCATACGTAAACACGAGCCCTGGCGCTTTTAATTAAAATTCTCAGCATCGGTCGATCAATTTTAAAGTATGGGAAGGATCGTTTTCACTTATCCCGTTTATACTCACACATATAGACACACATACACACACACATACACACCGCTACGCTTCTATACACTCGATTGCCGAGTACGAGTCATTAGCGGTGAGAAAGAGGAAGTTGTGTGAGTCTGAGAAGATGTCGGAGAGGAGCAAATACGGGAGGGCGAAGCTCGACGGCGGAAATATGGAAATGCGTGGAAGACGCAGGGTATGTGCAAAAATAGCGTTGTGCATTTTCCAGTCTACCGCTCGTTAGGGCGCCGTGCGCGCCAAGTCTGAAGTGAGATTTTCATCAATGCGCGGCGCGCGCTCGCTGCGTCAGAAAAGAAGT